TCCCTCCCTCCCTCCTCTTCTCTCTACATTCATCTAACCCCCCTCTCTAGAGAATATGTATGCAAGTATGTCTGCACAGCGCTGCCCAATTACTGCGAGGGAGACACGAGCTGTGTTTCCAGCCTGTTTTGACCTACCTAAAACACCTCCAGCGTTCTCCGTCTCCCTCTGAATCAACACAACTGCTGCACACCAGCGCGACTATTCACCCTGCGAGTGTGTGTAAGATAATCAGGACTTTAATGTTAATGTGCATCGGTGCATATATGTGAGCAAAGCGAGTCTGCACTTGTGTGTGTGTGTTACGGGTCGTGATGAGAGGAGCCAGAGTCTCCAGCTGGATGAATTCAGGCTATATCTGAATTATTTTCTAATACGTGGGATGACTGGAGCAAATTCCACAGGGAAAGTTTGGAGTTGCACAATGTTGTGGAGCCAAGTGATTGAGGAAAAGCAGGTACTTTCTAAACTGCGACTGGCAGTGTGAACTGAGATTCACACAGACTAGAAAGTACAACAATGTTGCACCTCAGCCAACAAACTGTTATGGCACCTTTCCAGGTTTAAAGAAACATTCAGCACCTTTATCCATGTAAAGGTACCAAAACTACAAGGTAACAACACTATTTTTACGATTAAAATAGCTATATTTACCTTATTTAAAGTTCAGAAGTATAATCATCTCAATGGTTTCAAGTTAACTTACTTAAAGAGATAAAAAATTCCTGTCTGGATTGCTTGATTATAGAAAAACTACTGGCCTGATTCTCATTCATCTTGGTCGAATGGTGAGGTTTGGACCAGGGGTCTGGATCGGAATCAACCGGCTAGTATAATAAAATATATATAAATATAGACTATATTTAACTTTTGTAAACATTGCAAGATATGCACGTTTGTGCTGTATTCATGTTTGGTCGAATATCCCCTCAAGTCAAAACAAGACTTGAAATACAGCAACATCCACATGTTGTTTAAACACTTTTCATAAAAAACAACATGTCTTTTAGCCTCAATTTCTTTCTACATGACGACTTTAAACTCACAGGACTTGAAATAACAAACTCCCAGCTCAGGAAGTTGGATCATCCCAGGAGCGCTTCAATGAACATGTGGCCTTCTAGGCGCTCATGGTTCTGCAGTAAAATGGTCACTGTGAAATGTATCATAGCATTTCAGTCTTTTAGCTGCTGAAGGGGGGGCTATTTTCAACTAATTTCATGTCAGGCGGCCCTGTCAATTATCACAAGAGAGGACATAACAAATAGATAAAGTTCTAGTTCACAAATTGGCTTTAAGTTTTTGGACAAAGTTGAATATCTAGTGGACTTCACATTACTGTGTGGCTTCACCATGTAGTGCCTTACACTTAATGACCAAAATAACTGCAATGGTAGCCAGGGGCGAGAGGCCAACACTGGCTAATGAGCTGCCTGCATTTTGTCTTTGGAGGCTTCCTCATTTTGAAGCTTCTGCAAACAAGCTGCAGCGCCAAAGCTAAGCAAGGAATATAAGAAATGACAATAATATAGTCTATAAAACATGGACTAATGTCTTAGCATAACATGAAAGATGTCTGGCCTCAGGAATAATGTAACGCCTAACTGCGACACCTCATTTATCAGTATGCATTTTGACATTAGATGTTAAAGGTTACAGGGACTGCTGCAAGGTCTTTGAGATCCCTCTGGGGCAAAGTGTGATGGCCTCTGTTTTATCCTCACTCAAATTGATGGTCTTCTATCCATGGCTGAGCTTTTAGTTAGAGAGCAAATGCTGAGCTCCCAAAGGCAGGACACAGAAATAAACGATATTGTGAAGGCAGGTTTTCTCTGTCCATACACGCTGTTATCAGTCTAATAGCAAATGGGAAATTCCATTGCTTTGTCGAGTTGATTCGGACTGTAAAACTTTTTCCATGAGAAAGAAAAACTCATTTCTGTCAAATGCGCCACGCCGTTCCATTCCAATGTGATAAGAAAATGCTTTCAGATTTGAGCGAGCAGCATGTGTACTCATCCACCACACACACACAAACACCCAAAAGGGAGGAGAAAAGGGTGGAGGGATGTTATTTCTCATTGAAGGCTATCATTATTCTCTCCGTCTACGCTCACTTCCAGACGTCGACCTTTTGAATGCAGCTCCGGATATGAACCTAGATCCTTTTCATTTCCTCCATCCACTGGAAGGTGACCCTCACCCATCCTTTCACACACACACCTGAAATACCTCCTCCACACCAGGAGTGCTTTCTACCTGCTGGCTGGTGTGCGTATGTGAGGGGACTTTGTCCTCCAGGAGGGTGAGAAGGACCCACTTCCTGTGTCAAATTGCCTCTCACATTCCTCGCTCTCCCTCAATCCGCCTCGCTCGGGCTATTTTTTCCTCTTTCTTGCTCCTTCTCTCTTTCTTCGTCCCTCTATGGGGGGCTTTGTCAGCTATTGGAGGCACAAAACACTGATTCATTGCATGAGTTGAACATGATCCGCGAGAACACAACGCTTTTCCGCCACACACACACGCACTTTTCAAGGAGCGAAGGCTGGCGAGAACAAGTTTTTGGCATTGAAGATTCACTATTTTTGAGCCCACACACAGACAGATGGACAGTCAGGCTCTCATGAAGGCAGATGGATGCAAACTCACACACACACACACACACACACACTAGCTATCTATGGGACACAACAGATGTCTGTGGGAAAATTGGTCTCCCATGTAAAATATAGTCGCCCGGATATGATGTCACAACTCTGATAACAGGAAATACCCCCGGCGACACGACACCGGGGATCAGTCATCAGAGGAAACACACAAGTCAGCTGGATTTGAGCCAAGAGGCATCTAAAGAAAGATTTTGTCAGCAAATGCATGTGACCCTGTGTGTGTGTGTGTGTGTGTGTGTGTGTGTGTGTGTTCAAGCCACGAGTTTCTTGAGGTTAGTCTTGCAATTATTAGACTGTTGACCTGTGTGTGTGTTACCAAGGTGAGCACAACCTGAATCCCTCTGTGCACTCCTGACCAGCTGTATTTGTGAGTGTGTGTTTGTGTGTGTGCATGTTTATATATGTCACACCTGGCACCGTTCACACACTTAAAGACAGATTAGGCACAGATCTCTGGCAGAGATTGTAACAGACTGACCCGGTAATAATCTGTGTGTGTGTGTGAGTGTGTGTGTGAAGTGTTGAAAACCCCTGACAAAACCAGAGGGCATCAGAGCAGAAGAAGCAGCACAAAGGAACTCGAAGATGTTGACAATACAAACATTGTGTCAAGGCGGAAGAATGAAGACGAGGCTAAATAAATCAGGGCGACTCAATCAACTGGCCTGAGGCAACCGACCTCGAGGGCACTTTAAGGTTCACTGCAAGTAGATTGGATTTTTTATTGAAGTTATTCAAACACCATTAACAACCAAATCAACCACGGGGTGCTGCATTTTTATGTGATTGTGTCCATGTTCTGTATCAAAATCTAGTTTGATTTAACTCCTGTTGTGCTGACATGGTGCATATTTTTCTGAAAAAGTTATGTTTGGGGAGGAGATTCAGTAGATAAGAGGGGGGGGG